TCCTCTCCTTCAGGAGCCTGATCTTCAGGAGAGAGCTGTACCTCCTCTCCTTCAGGAGCCTGATCTTCAGGAGAGAGCTGTACCTCCTCTCCTTCGGGAGCCTGATCTTCAGGAGAGAGCTGTACCTTCTCAGAGTGATGTGCCCAAGGGGACAGACTTTCTGGAGCCGGCAGGGCCTCAGTTTAGGAACTGGGCTTGGCAGCGGAGAAGCAAGAGAAAGACACACGGTCCGCCCAGCCTTTCTGGCCTGGTTACTGTAAAAAACCTCGATGGTCAAGCCTTCTGAGGACAGCCCCCCTCCTGCCCCCTTGCCTACCTGAGCAGCCCCTGGCACATGCTAAGGAACTTAACCTCAGGCTGATTTCCCCTGGTCCTGCCCGTGCCCCCTCCGGAGACTGGCACTGGCCCCAGGGGCTCCTTTTTGTTCCCAGGATGTTCTGGATTGGCTGCCTAGGAGGAGGGGTCAGCAGGGGTGGGGTGGGGGTGCAGCTTCTCAGAATTGGCCCATGGACTGGTGACATTCTTTGGCTTCCCTTGCAGCATTCTCGTCCACCATGTCTCACAACGGGCACCTTGAGGATGTAGGTGAGTGCATTCCAGGTGTGTGTGTGGGGAGGGGAGAACAAGTAAACAAGCTTTACTTGGTCTTAAGGCTTTAGGGGTCCTGGCCTACCCAGCCATTGGCTGCTGTGAACTCATGTTCTCAACTCGTGCTGAGAGAACTTTGCTTCTTACCCACAGGAGTTGGCAGCAAGGGCAGAGCTGAGGAGGGACACAGGCTGGTCCTGTGGTCCTGGGAGGGAGGCTGCACCTCTTGGGCTTTGTGAACCATCTGATACTCTCTGATTCACACTCATTGTTCCAATGCCTTGGTTTTCTGCCCATCCTATATGTACCGTTTCCCTCAGTCTCCGCCCAGTGTCATGAGCGCAGGCTGCCACAGTTGTGTTAAAGAACATAATGTCCCTGTGACCAAGTTTTCCCCACTTTCTCCATGTAGCTCTCCTGTGGTGTCTCTGGGCTGGCTCTGAACTCACTGTCCATGAGGTCCTGACCATTAGAGAGAAGCTTGACAGGATAGTACTTGGTCATAATGGTGATATGCTCTTAGCCCAGGGTCCCTAGGCTATGGATTCCCTCGTGTGCCAGGTTCCTGGTGTGCAGGTTAGCTGTGTGACGGGGTTGTAGGATGTGGGAGGGGATACAAGGGCAAGACTTTAATTAGGGAAGCTATAACTAAGCCCAGGAAAGGGCAGAGCCCAGGGGGAGTGTGGAGGCAGTGCTGGGAGCCCAGCAGAGGGGAGGTTGGAGCAGCCTGTATGGGATGGTGGTGGGGAATTTGCGATGGACGTGATCTCTACAACAAAAATAGCAAGGGGAACATCTGTTCTCTGGGTGCAGTGTAAGCCTGGGGTCACTAGTCCAGGGGGACCTTGTTGTGTCGACCCCAGCCTCTCCTGTAGAAAGGGCTCTAGCCAAGCACAAGACAATTAGGGGAACATCAGGGCCTGGGATGTGCAGAGGAAACCGGTGGGTGTGGATGGAAGTGAGTCAGGGTGAGTCACGGCCGGCAGGTGGAGGCATGTTGCTGACCGTTCCCTGTCCCTGTACAGGTGTTTGCCAGACGTTGGTGGCACCTGGGATGTAGGGTCCTCTGTCCTGGGGGTACCCAAGAGTAACGGACCCCAGGGAGCCCCAAAGCAGTCAGGAAGAAGAGGTGCTGGCTGGATCAGGAGTGAGGCCAAGGCTCCCACTGGCTTCCCAGAGGAAGATAGATATTCTCAGGATGTTTTTCCCACCGAGTTATTAACTGAATGTGGCAGTCCCCAGATTACAAGCTCCATTCCTAAATCTGTCATTAAGTCTAAGTTGGGGCAATTAAGTGTGATTTGTATCTAATGACAGTTTCAGTATATCCTGTATCTTTCTACGCATAAAAGCATTAAAAGGTCTTTAACGTAATAACATCATGGTAATAATAATCATGCTTTGGTGTTTGTCACAAAGTAGTGCCCATTTATAATGTATCTCAAGTTTTTAATATAACAGACTTCGTAGCTGTTAGTATAGTGAGGGTGGCACAGGATAGGACAGGATTCAGATCTGTTGTTTATAGGTTTGCTATGAGTCGTACTTGACTCAATGGCATCTCACAACAACAACACTAGGGAGTGCCCTGGACCCTGAGGAGGGTTGTCCATGGACCTTGGGAAAGATCTTCAAGGGGAAAAAACCTTTAACTTGGGAGACAGAGCCACTGTGGACTTGGACTGCTGAATAACTAGCCTAAAGATTGAATGGAGGTGGGGAGCAGAACTGGGCCCCAGGAGCCAGAGTTAGGAGAGGATTGGCTCAGCCTCTGACCCTAAAGACTGCAGGAGCCACTGTAGGGCTTGGGAAGAGAGGAGTTTACGTGTTACCCAGAAGTGTTCCCTATCGGAGGGAGCCTGTGCTGGGTAGAATTTGAGAGGTGTTGAGAGGGGCTCTGACTTAGGGTTCTGCACACCAAGGACATCATGACATGTCTCTTACCTGCCAGTGGGATAAGTAGTGCGTGACGGAGCCAAGGCTGGAAGGAGGTCTGGAGGCCCAGACCTGTCACTGGCTCTGTTTTTGTGCTTGAACTGCTTCCCAGGTCTGTCTCTCAGCCACATGGCCTCATTGAAAGAGCTCTAAGATTCTCTCCCACTAAGGGTGAGGGGGATTGGTTCTTTCTTCCCTTGGACCCCTTTAGGAAGAACAAAGAGCCAGAAACTCTTACATTAATCAGTGTGTGAGTAGCTCATGGTCAGAACAGCACAGATGAAAGAGGTTGGAGATCATCAGGCATGAAGTGCCAGTCATCCTGGGCCGGGATATGAGGGTGCCCAGGGCTCCCTCATTCAGAGTCCGGGCACAGCACACAGCACAGGGACCTCTCTGCCCCCTTGGCCTTGAGGCACCTCCCTATGATATGCAGTAGTGGTACCCCAACCCTTTGGCGTCTCTCTTGGTGATGGTTGGGGCTCCAGGTTATCTCCCGTGTGACCCAAATGATATCTCTGAAGCCTGTGAAGAGAACCTGGGGGATGAAGCCTTCGACACCATCAACTCCTCTGTTATGTCTGGAGAGAGTATCCGTTTCTTTGTCAACGTCAACATGGATATGCACCCGTCTCAGACTGGTATGAGGACTATGGTGGGCAGAGGGCATGGCAGGGGTGGCCCCATTCCACCAGGAGAGACCTCCGGAGGTGAAGCGGCATCCTGAGTGCTCCTCTCTTTTCCAGCTGAGAATGAAGCATCTGGCGGCTGCGTGCTCCTGCACATCTCCCGCAAGGTGAGTGTCTGGGTGTTGGGGGTGGAGGTAGGTGCTTCCCTGGTCCTCCTGCCACTCCCCTCTTCCCTGGCCTGAGTGCCAGGGAGCACCAAGGGACTCAGGCAGTGCTGGTGGGTCATTCCACTCATGTGGTTCTCGATGCCTGGGGTTCCTGCAGTATCTGAAGTTAAAGAACTTCGAGGAAGAGATCCGGGCACACCGTGATGTGGAGGACTTCCTGGCACAGGCCAGCATCATCCTGAACGAGACCGCCACGTCCCTCGATGACGTGCTGCGGGCCATGCTGCTGCGCTTCTCCAGGGATCCCAACCACGCCGAGCCCGGCTCCAACCTCGATCTGCTCATGAGCATGCTCTTTACTGATGCAGAGGCCCCCCTGGAGGGGAACGGTGAGGCCCATCCAGCAAGGGGGCAGGAGGATGGGGAGGTGGGCTGGCTGGCCGCCTGACGTCCCCCGCCTCCACTATGTCCACAGTCCACATGCTCTCGGATACCATCCAGGGGGTCACGGCCACAGCCACGGGGCTGCAGTACCAGCAGTCGTGGCTCTGCATCATGTGAGTTGCGAGGCCACAGCCACCAGAGTCGGCCACACGGCACGTGGGGGCCTGCAGAGGCAAGCTGGCCCATCAGCGACGGCTCACCCGATCATTCTGGGGTGTGGGGCGGGGAGAGGGTCTGAGCCCTCCTACCTAGTTCTTTTTCTCCCTGGGATCACTGGGGCTGAGTAGAAAGATTCCCAGGTCCCACGGGTGACAGCTGTGTTCTGTGTGCCCACCTGTCCCCGCCAGCTGTACTGTGAAGGCCCTACAGAAGCGGCACGTGTGCATCAGCCGCCTGGTTCGCCCACAGAACTGGGGAGAGAATTCTTGTGAGGTGCGGTTTGTGATCCTGGTGCTGTCCCCACCCAAGATGGTGAGTGGGGACCCTCGGGTGCCACAGGTTCCTGGGGAGGAGGGTTCCGCATTACCCTGCTCTCTCCTTGGGGTTGTTTCTTCCAAATGTTGGGGGTTCACCTAGTTCTGAGGACAAAGAGCCTCATTCTCACCCTGACTGGGTCTCTGTGAGGACAGCCAGTAGCTGTGTGTCATTCCCCACCCCAAATCCCCAAGAGAATGCCTAAAGATTATGCTGCCTTCTTAACTAGAAAAAACAAACTTAACTATTTTTCAGACACAGTGGTTTTTTTCTTGGGCTCCTCGTACTCTTGACTTAGTTGGCTGGCTTTATGATTTGCTAGCCAAGGACTCCCACCCCTTTGTGTGCTACATCACCCCTATCTGATCAAAGGCTTTGGCTTTTGTTTGCTTGAAGCAGGTACAATATGGGGAGCCTTTTAAGGAAAATAATTATCATGAAAGTTTCATTGACTTCTTGATGCTTCTTCTCTACCTCTAGTCTAGATTTACAGCTTGGCACAGCACCCCCTCTTTGGGCTCTTTCTGACCAACAAGGGGTGCTGCAGGAATGTCCTGCCAAAGACTTATTTTTTTTCTAGCTCGGTGTCATTTATTACATGTATATCTGTGTCCACTACCACAGCCAAGACAGACTTTTTCATCACACAATCTCTCACATATCACTTTTCTTAAAAAATTTTTATTTATTATTTTTTGTGTGCGTACAGTCAAATCAGATCTGACTTGTACACGAAGAGATTGTCGCTCCTTCTCCAGCAGAGCATCTCGTGGGTTTGAACCACATGCCTCTGGGATTGCAGTGCGGCTTCTTGACACTAGGCTACCAGAGCTCCCTCATATCACTATTTTTTAAACCATTCTGACAGGTGTACAAAAACTTAAGTAGTGATGGATGGTGTTGACTCAGGGATGAGATGGAAAGTCTCCTCCTGCAAAAATTTACAGCCTCAAAAAACTGGGGGAGGGTCCCTGGGAACCAGAAGCGACATGAAGACAGTGGATGGGGGTCTTGAGCATCCGAACGTATTTTCATGTGCTTACTTTCCTTTTGTACAACTGCCTGTTGTACAGGTGAAATGTCTTTTGTTCACTTTTTAATTGGTTTTGAATGTTGAAGGGTTTTTTTTATTTTTAAATTTTATTTTTTTATTCTTTTTCATGTATGTACCATCAAATCGGATCTGACTGCTACAGGAGGAGATTACCCCTCCTTCTCCAGCAGAACTCCACTGAATGTTGAGTTTTAAGGGTTCTTATTCTAGGTACCAGTTCTCTATCAGAGACATTTCAAAACTATTTTGGACTTTTAAAAAAAAATGAGCTGTTTCTATCATGCATTCTTTTTTCCCTGTTATTAATACCTTGCATAGCTGTGGTACGTTTATTATAATGAATGAACTGATGTTTACATGAACTTTGGTGGCTTAGAGCTAAGGAATTCTGCTTCCAGTACACAGGTATGTGGTTCAAATTCACCAGCTGCTCCCCTGGAGAAAGAAAGGCAGTCAACTCCTGTGTGATTTACTGCCTCTGTAAACTTGCTGGAGAATCAGCTATAGGTCAGTTCTAACTCTGTAGTACACAACAGCAATGTTGACAGGGTGCTCTGGTGGCCTAGTGGTAAGGACTTGCACTGCCAACACAAAGGTAGTCAGTTCAGTCCACCATCTGTGGTAGAAAAATGGGCGGTCTCCTCTCATGCGATTTACTGCCTCTGAAAACCTGCTGAAGTGTTAGCTGGGTCGATTCCTACTTGAAAGTATAGAACAAGTCGATTAAAATATCCTCGATTTTCATGTGTCCCTTTTGTGTTCCACAACTCCATCCAAATACCACATTCCATTTATTTATTTGTAAAGTTTTCATTATGGTTTGTGTGAACATTTACAGAGCAGACCCATGCACAGTTCACACACGTTTTGTTTTTGTGACTTTTACATGTAGTTGCCACATCTCTGGGCCCTTTGGAACTGCGGCAGTTTTCACACTTGTTTTTTGTTGAGCTTGATAAATTGAGGTGGTCAGGTAATTTGTAGGCTGCGCCACTGTTGGAATCTGTCTGATGTTGTGCTCATGATTAAAACAAGGTTATGACAATTCTGAGGAACATACAGAAGTTATCATATGAAGGATATATTCAAAAAGCACTGCTGTAGAGTGGAGACTGGTTCATAGCTGAACCTCCAGAGGGTTTCAGAGGCTGTAAATCCCACAGAAGATTGCCCATCTTTCTCTTGAGGAGCAGCTGGTGGGGTCAAACACCTGTCTTGGGGTTCCCGGCACAACTCCTTACCCACGGGGTCATCAGAATTTCCTTGATTTACGAGAACTGATGCTGACTTTGGTCACTTGGCTCAAGAATGGTTTATTAGGTTTGGCCCAGAGAGTTACTCTTTATTTCCCATCTTCCTATTCAATTTGGAAGAAAATCAGTAGGTGCACCTGATGGCTAAGGAGTGGAAGCTCTGCTCTTCCTGTAGCGCAGAACATTCCGTGGTGATGCACTTGCCATTCTTCCGCATCCTCCCAGGGATTTCATAGACAAGCTGGGAACCTCGCTATGTGGAAGCCTCTTGGTGAGAGAAGAGGCTTATCTTACAGCGGTAGCAGCTCGTGGGCCCGAGGGAATGACAACTGACAATCTCTGGGAGCTTTTGAACAGATCAGCCAGTTCTGAAACAGGACTCTTGAGAACGGAGCCCATAGTTTAGGAAATATAAAGGGACAGATCCTGCTCCCAGGGGCCTCGGCTTGTGAGGCAAGACAGTGGCTGTATGGAAGCAGAATTCTGAATTTATGGGTAGGGCCCATCTGCTGGTACATGGGGAAAAGGCCAGCGCTTGGAGAAACCAAAGAAAATCCCACTGTTGTCAAGTCTGACAATCCTTGTGTTCTATCAGCTGCTCACTCCATTGGCTTTTCTTGGCATATGAGTCAGGTGGCTCAAAGGTATGGAATTGTGTTCCAAGCCCAAAGACATGCAGTTCGAATCCACCAGATGCCCCGTTGGAGAAAGATGTGCAGTTTCCTCCTGTGCCATCCTCTGCGTCTGAAAACCTGCTGCAGCGTTAGCTATGAGTCAGTTCCTATTCAACAGTAAATAACAACCACCACCACCTTTTAAGGACATAAACAGCCAGGCCTTTCCACCTTGGTGCTGGTGGGCAGGTGGGTTTGAACTGTCAACCTCTAGGTTAGTCACTGAGCACCAAATGATGTTACTATTCTGACGGACCAGGACTCATGGAGATTAAGTAAATGAGTAGATGCTGCTGTTTCAGGTGGTAGGTGGGGAAATGTTTTCTTCACCACTGAGGCTATATGATCCGTCATTACCTGAGTGTGTTGCTTAGACTGGTATCTGAGTTAATATCAGAAGGTCCCATCAGTGGCAGTGGTGGCTTCCACCCACTTAGGGACCTCACTGTGCAGTGAGGGGAGGTGTCCCCATGGGCCTGACTCTGCTTCCCTTCTCCCCTAGAAAAGCACCAAAACAGCAACGGAAGTGGGCCGCACATTCGCCACCATGTTCTCAGACATCACCTTCCGCCAGAAGCTCCTGGAGACCCGCACGGTGGAGGAGTTCAAGGAGGCCCTGGTGCACCAGCGGTACCTGCTCACCATCACCAGCCAGCACTGGCGCAGCTCCTGCACGAAGCAGCCCAGTGTACACTCCATCAGCAAGGCCCCGCAGGTGCAGCACAAGGCAGGCCTGGGCCGGATAGGGGCTGTGACTCGGCAGGCCCCACAGTCACTCAACCTCTCCAATCCCCACAGTGCAAGGACTTCCTGTCTATAGGGAAGGGCATCCGCGAGGACATCGCCCGGAGGTTCCCCATGTACGCACTGGACTTTACTGACGGTACATAGGCTCGTGGCTTGGGTCCCCCCCAGATTCTAGCCTTTTGGGTGGCCTGCATTCTCAGCAATCCTCCTGTCCCTCCCACCCCAGGCATCATTGGGGACCACAAAGCTGTGGGCAAATACATCACCACCACCATATTCCTCTATTTTGCCTGTCTCCTGCCCACCATCGCCTTTGGCTCCCTCAATGATGAGAACACGAAAGGAGCAATTGGTGAGGGACTTAAGGGTGGGTGCTGGGTTGGGCCCAGGACCGCAGTGCCCCCCTGACCTCCCCACCCCCACAGACGTGCAGAAGACCGTGGCTGGTCAGAGCATCGGGAGCCTCCTATACGCGCTCTTCTCTGGGCAGCCGCTAGTGGTGCTACTGACCACCGCACCCCTCGCTCTCTACATCCAAGGTGCTTTGGGGGCTGAGGGGACAGTGGAGCTCAGGGCCCTCGCTCCGCATCCTGACCCCACCCTTGCCTGCTGCCTGCAGTGATCCAGGGTATCTGTGACGACTATAAGCTGGACTTCAAAGCCTTCTATGCGTGGACAGGCCTGTGGAACAGCTTCTTCCTGGGGCTTTATGCCTTCTTCAACCTCAGCCTGCTCATGAAGGTCTTTAAGAGGTGACATGGACATTCTGAGTTACCAGGACCCTCAAGCAGGAGGGAGAAGAGGGCTGGGGTCAGCCTCCAAGGCCCTGCCACCCTAGAGAAGATGGGGCTTCTCATCTATTCACCCCAAGGGGCTGGGAGGACGCATTGGGAAGGTCCTGGGGCTCAGGGAATCCTCCCCTCAACACAGCCTGTCTCATGAGGCACGTTCACTCCCTGCAGGTCAACAGAGGAGATCATTGCCTTGTTCATCTCCATCACATTTGTGGTAGATGCTGTTAAGGGCATGGTCAAAAGTGAGTAAACAGTGGATGGCTACATGCCACCTACTCCTTAGAGGGTGTCATGGGGCAGAGCAGTGTGGTCAAGGAGGGGGTGACTTGGCAGAGTAGTGGCCGCATGTCTTAGAGGACAGGTGAGACCTCAGCTGGGGACAGAGGCACTCAGCCAGGGTTGTTTTGGGAGGGGGCGCTGGGGGGGCTTTCCTTCTCTACCTTCCCAGTTTTCCCCCACCTCCCTTCAGGGCTTCTCTTCCCCCTTCCCACAGCACCCCACCCACTTCCCCTCAGGGCCCCCTACCCCATTATCTAGGAGGAAGCTGGGGCCCCCCATCTCCCAGAGCCCAGATGGCTGAGGCCTGTCAGCCGGCCTGTATCCATAGTCTTCAGGAAATACTACTATGGCCACCACTCCAGCAACTACTACACTGGGAAGTCTGTGTCCCTCATGAGCCTGCCAGGCCTCAACACCACCTTCCACGCTGACCTCAACGCCAGCCTCCTGACCAGCCCGCCGGGGCTGACCACGCACGCCAGCCACATGCACGCCGGCCGGGACACCGCCGTGCTCAGCCTCCTGGTCATGCTGGGCACGCTCTGGCTGGGCTACACCTTGTACCAGTTTAAGAGGCGGTGAGGGGCACGTGGGGGGGTGCGGGTTGTGGACGGAACCCACAGCTCCCAGGTGGCTGCTGACGCTTCCTTTGTCCGCAGTCCCTACCTGCATCCGTACGTGCGGGAGATCCTGTCAGACCTGGCCCTGCCCATTGCGGTGCTCACCTTCTCTCTCCTCACCTCCTACGGCTTCCAGGATATAGAGAGTGAGTGAGGAATGGGTGGGTGCAGGGGCCCTCTGAGGAAGGAAGGGGTGTCAGGACTGAGAAGTCTGTGCTCCCCCCATAGTGAGCAAGTTCCGCTACAACCCCAGCCAGAACCTGTTCCAGCTAGCACAGATGGACCGGCTGTCCCTGGGGGCCATCAGCAGCACCATGGGTCTGGGCTTCCTGCTCTCCATGCTCTTCTTCATTGAGCAGAACCTGGTGGCCGCCTTGGCTAATGCACCTGAAAACAGGTACCCCCCCCACCACCAGAGCTGCCGAGATGGGGCGGGAGTTCCGAGCCCTGCAGGGGGCCTAGGTTGGAACCATTGGCTACTGGCTGGCTATCTGCCACAGGCTGGTGAAAGGCACTGCCTACCACTGGGACCTCCTGCTGGTCGCCCTCATCAACACCGCGCTGTCTCTGTTGGGGCTGCCCTGGATCCACGCAGCCTACCCCCACTCGCCGCTGCACGTGCGGGCCCTGGCCTGCGTGGAGGAGCGTGTGGAGTACGGGCACATCCATGAGACGTGAGTGTGAAGCCTGGGGGGTGATGGGGGGTGCAGCACACAAGCCCTCCCCCCGAGGTGATCTTCCCCACCCCGGGCACTCTGCAGGATCGTGAGTGTGAAGGAGACCCGGCTGACGGCACTGGGGGCCAGCATCCTGGTGGGCCTGTCGCTGCTGCTCCTGCCCTTCCCGCTGCGGTGGATCCCCAAGCCTGTGCTGTACGGCCTCTTCCTCTACATCGCCCTCACCTCCATCGACTGTAACCAGCTCTTCGAGCGTGTGGCCCTGCTGCTCAAGGAGCAGGTGCAGGCAGGGCCCAGGGGAGCGGCGGGCCAGGGGTACAGTTGGTAGGGCCCCCAGCTGACCCCCGGTCCCTGCCACCGCAGACCGCCTACCCACCCACTCACTACGTGCGGAGGGTGCCACAGAGGAAGATCCACTACTTCACAGGCCTGCAGTTCCTGCAACTGCTGCTGCTCTGCTTCTTCGGCATGAGCCCCTTGCCCTACATGAAGATGATCTTCCCCCTCATCATGATTGTCATGATCCCCATCCGGTACGGGGTCCCCCACGGGTGGGGACAGTGGGCAGGATGAAGTCCCGGCCTTTGGGTGAGAGTGGGCTGGTTGGGGGCGCAGGTGTCCAGTTAACCAGTGGGTGAGTTTGGGGAATGCCCACTGCTTCCTGGATCCAGGGCTCACCCTTTGGCTCTTTCCCAACTCCGCCAGCTACAACCTGCTGCCCCGAATCATTGAAGCCAAGTACCTGGACGCCATGGACGCTGAGCACTAAGGCCCTGACCCACCATGCCCCCTGCCGCCTCCCAGGCCAGCTCTGACTGTGGGCACCCCCAACCCCAGCAGAGTGGGCGCACTAGTGTGTGCCCAGCCTTCTCCCCGGTCACAGGTCACGGGAAGTTTTGGGTCGTACCGCTGCTCAGGGCAGCTTCCGCCCAGGGCAGAACTAAGCAGGACAGATTTTCTTTTGATAAAAGAGTGCATGCCTGAGAGTGAAGCCATTTCCTTGATTGTGTAAGGAACCCGCTATACGCATTTTAGAGAATAAAGTTCCTGTTTCTATGCGCTCTGTGTCACCTCTAAGCCTGCTGCCCCACCTCAGCCCCTCAAGGCAGGGGAAGTAGGGAAAGGGAGCACCCCAGGGAGTGTGGGAGGTCCTCACCAGTCCCTCAGGGTAGAGGCTGTCCCTGCAGTGTGCTGTGCTGTCTGGCAGGGAAGGCAAAAGAACTGAGAGGATGGGACTCCCAGAAATGTCCCAGGAACAGCAAGTGTAAAGGTCTGGGGAGGGTGGGGTTTGTGACTGGGGAGACCTGGCTGCTTGGGCGAGTGAGCCACCTGTACTAGAGAGATCAGGGACTCGATCAGATAAAAGCGGCTTATGAGCTGGATGGAAGGATGTCTGATAGGTACTGGCAGTTTTGACTGAGACTAGGGCAGAGATGGAGTGACAGTGCAGAGGGAGAAGTGGGGCAATCCCCTATAATAGCAAGGCATTGGGGATGATCTGGAGGGAGAAGGTGCCATATTTCTGGCCTGGGCATATGATGAGTGGCAAGAGCACAAGATGACACGATCAGGGAGCAGGGGTCTGGTGTCAGAGGCATGTCCTCTGAGCACATCTGGGAGGGAGCGCAGCAGCAGCAACCATCGCACCCGGTGCACAGACATGACAGAAGCTCCACAAACACCATAAACCACAGTAATGGAAAACACTGCCTACATCTAGGACAGCTTCCTAACAAAGGGCTAAGCCTAGACAGGTACCTTGTCCAAAAAAGACAACAGGGACAGCAAGAAATGCTGCACCAGACTCCTCGGAGAATCAGAACTGCAAGCTCGAATCACCAGCCACTCCACACTTGGGAGACTTGGCGAGGCAGAGGCTGGGCTGGCAGAGGCAGTAGATGATCGGGTTCTCTGGGCACTAACATGGAAGAGTACGGAGGGACAGGCAGGCCAGCTGCACCCTCCAAGCAGTTCTTCCCTGAGCTAATGGGGGCAAGCACAAAGGTGGTCTCAGGTGGGTAATTAAAGTTGAGAATTTCTGTGCTGCAGAGCCACCCACAGGGATGTTCTGATCCGTGATGGCCTGGGTGACTGGAGGGGAGGAGGAGATGACCCGAACAAGCGGGCTCACACCCTGACAAATAATCCCCTACAGGTGTGACACGCCCCCAAGGAAAGCACTCTGAGGAAGCTGATATATGCACTGGCACCTCCCTTACCCAAGTGCATTAATTCCATTCCGTTCACTCTCAATGCTATAAAGTGAGTTCTGGCAAACCTCAGTCAGGTTCTGATGCTGTAAGTGGCAATGGGAGAATGACCAACCACCTTTCTCCCGAGGAGCTTGGTGGATTCAAACTGCCAGAGACATGCAGCCTCTGAGTTAGCAACACCATTAACTACAAGACTTTACCAGAGCTCCCTCAGCTTAGCAGAGGAGACAGTTCCCGCAACAGTTTAATCTCAAGCCCTGAGCCATCTTGCCAGGACTGCAAACGGAGCTCTTTAGAGTTGCTTGTGAGCACAGACAGAAGCCTGGGGAACCCCTCATTCTTCCCCAGCAGTCAAGCGCCCTCCTGCCACACACACAACAGGTTTTTGTGTCATGCACACTGGGCACCTCCTACCAGGAGTGGGACAGCAAGAGAAGACACAGGGTCCTGAAGTCTCTTCTCCAGGCTCCGCAGAACAATGCAGGTAGTTAGGGTTTCTGACCCTGGCCTCCCCAGAGACCTGACACCCTGGGGCGCACACATGGCACGTCAACCCCACCAGAGTCAAGGACTCACACCCTATCCTGACAGATACAAACACAAAGTCATGAGAACTTGGATTTCTAATCATAAACCATTATTTTAGCTGCTTTCAATAAAATAGCATTAATGCAAAAGCACTGGACATTCCACATTGCCTCAGCCCCCTTGAGCCAAGCCACAAAGACAAAGGGTACACAGCAGGCCCTGCAATGGGAAAGGTCAGCTCATCTTCTGAGACTTGGAGAATTAAAGATTAAGGACTGCAAGTGGAAAAGATGGAATACCCCAACCGGCAGGCCACATGACCACCCCAAGATGCAATGCTGCTTCCTTGAAGGCTTCCTGCCACCAGTCAAAGAGGGCTCAGGAGAAACATCTCTTAGCTACAGAGAATGGTGGCTCTCACCCACCATTTCTCCAAGCAGCACCAGTGCCCCACAAAGGACGCCACCTCAGTGTTCTCCAAGATCAGCAGCCCTAAAGAAAGACCCAAGGGGTGCCGGCTGACGGGTGGTTTCAGGCTAGCCCTCGCCTGATCCCTGGCCTGACGCACTGGGTCCTGATCCGGGAAGACTCAAGCTGCTGAAGTATTTCTGCAGTTCACACAAAGCCCGGAAGCGATGGGAGATGGTGTTCTTCTCAGCCTTGGGCATCTCAGCGTACCTAGAGGACAAGCAGGAGCTCAGAGAAGGGGGTTCAGGGCCAGGGAGGGTGTGAACCTCACTAGAGCCCCACATTCAAGGAGTCCCCTGGGACTTAATGGACCCGTAGGACTATTGTTAGGTCAACTGTGACCCACAGCATCCCCGCATCCTGTACCATCCTCATGTCACCCCCACGCTGAGCCACTGTGTAAATCTATCTCACTGAGAGCAAAGCTGGGGTCCCTATCATTAACACTTCAAATTGAAGAACATTAAACTGCTCTAGTGTCTCCAAAACTCAGTAAGTAAAGCTGAGGACAGAGGAAGAGCTTGGTGTTTGACCAGCTTTGTCATTGTTGACAGGGCCTGATAGAGCAAACACAGCAGCCTCCTCAATGCCTGGAGGCAGGGACCTGGACAGCAGGCTGGTGGCCTGTCCTCCATACCAGGACCTCAGTAACCTGAGAATCTAAACCTCATCCATGCAATGGAGACATGAAGGTCCTGACTGCAGTAGCCACTAGCCACAAAGACATTTTTAAAGGATTTAAAATGGAGCTAACTCAATTCCTCAGCCACGTGAGCCACATTTTAAGTGCTCAACACGTGACTAGCATCTTAGATAGTGCTGACACAGACTATTTCTGTCATCAGAGAACGTTCTTCAACACTGTTTCACAGCTGCCTGCCTATTGAGAGAGGCCTCAGGCCATGCTTCCAAAGGCCTCTGATTTCAACACTGGCTGATGTGTCTCATGCAGTTAAGGGTGGTTACTGTGAATTCCAAGAACACGTGGCACAGTGGGGGTAAAAAAATGCCATGCCCACTGGAGGCTGCAAAACTGCTAACATAATTTTTCTAAACTAGACAACGAAGGGTCAGTAAACAAATCCCACAAAACTGCTTGGTTTATGAGCCAAAGCTAGAGAGAAGATACCACCAGAATCACACAGGCACCAGGGTATGCTGCAGCCAGGTCCAGGCCTCCTGTTACACCCGGCTGCCTCTTCCATGGCGACAGAGCCATCCAGATTCCTTCTACCCACCCCAGCAGAGCCACTCTCAGCTTGAACGAAGCATGCAAAGCCCTCCCCTGCCCATATCTGCATGCCTGCACCCAGGGAGTGCCAATCCAACCCAGACCACAGTCACCTCGATCCCACACCCAGAGGGAGAGATCAGAGGGGCTTACGTCTGCTCATATCCATCTGGCTGAAAGCAGGGGTCCCAGCCAAAGTCCCGGCAGCCTCGGGGCATCACGATTTGGCCCTGCCACAGGTAAGGGGACAACAGGTGTGTCACTGCACAAGATGCACTAGGAGCACAGCAAGCAACAGGCATCATTATTTACAAATTTCATTAAACTGTATATAGTAATGAGTATATGGAACCTTGGGCACCTGTAAATGTGGATCTTTGGGAACTTGCAAACGCTTGCTGAAGATCTAAATAAAATGTAGAGTTGAAGAGCTGTCCCCTTACATGCCAAGAGGAGCCACATTCTGATGGGTCTACCAGCTCCCCAGTCCATCCTCAGGTTTAGCGTCCTCAGGAACTGTGACCTCCCTGAAGAGTTCACAACCTGACAGTGAGCACCAGCCACAAAAGGACGTGCTACCAGTACATTTCTGCATATGGTCCTTTAAACCTAGTTGAAACCACTTTTTTTTTTGATTGATTGGTAATTTTTTTCTAAATTTTCACTTTCAAAAAAAATTAATTTTAATGAGAATTTATAGAGATTTTGACTTTGGATTTCCATTCATTCATTCTTGCACTTTTCTCCCTGCACAATCTCCCCCCCCACACCCAATTTATTCTTCTCTTTGAAAAGTAAAAGAAAAATCTCTCATTATTATACCATCCCTCCCCCAATTCCACTCCACTATGCAGCCTTCATTCTGGACTCTGATATATCTCTTTTAAACAGTTTTCTCCCTCATCTGTTTCAATGCAGTATGCATCATTTATCCCATCTTTCTCAGTCTCTCTCCAACCCTGATGTCAATTGTAACCACTCTCTTGAAGTGTTTGGTTATGTCTAAATAGCTTTCACAGCTATGCCTCCATGATCTCCATTATTTACAGGCACAGGGAGCTCTGGTGGCCTTGTGGTAAGGAACTGCACTGCCAAGCCAAAGGCATGCGGTTCAAATCTGCTAGCTGCTAAAGCGTCAGCTATGAGTCAGTTCCAACTTGACGGCGCACAGCAACAACACTGTATTTCTCCAAAGCTAAGGGAGGTTCCAACAACTAAATGTGCTAACCGTAACCTATATGTAAATGAATGAGCTCAGTAAACCTGGGCTGTTGAAGGCAAATCTCAACATGAAAATGTAAACAGCATACACTGGGGTCCAGTTGCCATGAAAGTCAAAATGAAAAATCTAACCTAGAATTGAGAAAGGACAAGGCTCAGTCACAGAAACCCCAATCAATCAGACACAAATGCAAATTGAGCTTTGGCTGAGGAGGACAGGTATAATCAAGGCTAGAATGTGAACCATGCTAAACCTCACTAATGTAACCAATATTTTTTTGAGCAAATACCTACAAAGGAGCCAGGCACTGTCTTCAGCTCTGAGGACACAGGAAGCTCAGAATAGCTTCACAGATCACCTTTAGCAAAACTGACATTAAGCCAGAAAACAAATTGGTGACCATCAAATGCAAAGTGAAACAGAATGCTCAGCTCAAGAAAAAGAGGCAGGCCACACTCAGGCCTCAATGAGGGAAGGACATTTTGACCACACAAAGTGCTGGTGCCACGATCCTCAGATGCAGATGGGGAGGGACTGGTGTATCTGAATGGCAAAAAGGATGATGGAGTTGGGGCTCAGCACAGGTAAGAATGAATGAGATGAACAAACAGGCTACCTCACACAAGGTGGCCAAGCAACAATCGTGGGAAGTAGCCAAAGTGGGGAAGCAACAGAGAAGGGTAGTATCACAGTGACACAGGACCACCAGTGGGGTAGCTGCCATGTGGTCACACAAGCAGGGCCTCCAGCTGTCTGGGCTTCCGATTTTTCAAGAATGGTGGGCATTTCTGTTAAAGTTTTATAAATGTAAAACTGGGTAAAAGGAAACATCTGTATACATGCCCCCACTGGAGTCGCTGGAGCCAGACTGTTTCACTGTGGCGACTCAGAAGTTAGATTTTATACTGAGCAGAGCAGGAAGCCAGAGAGGGCCTAAGCGGAGTGGTGTGTCCTTGGGAAAGAATGAGTGAGGTGTGGGGGACAGTGGGTCAACTGGGAGGATTGCCTGTACTCTGAGAACCTGCTTAATCTATGGTCTGGAAGTTGGGGGCGATCAAAGAAAAAATTAATTCAGAAGAAGAATAAAGATTCTATAGTCAGAAGGTCATGAAACATTCAGGCTGAGATGCAGCCTCAGTAGCTGAATAAAAAGATTGGGGCTTGGGGAAATCTGAGCTGTACATGTAGCTTTGGGCGTTGGCACCTTTAGTTTCTTCATTGGTTTCTCAGGTGGGCACAGGGTGCTAGAGACTCTGGATACGTCAGCCCCTCAACAGCTGTCATCATAGTAATAAGTTTCCTGAAACATTAGCTGTGGGGGATGAAACAGGTCACAAGACTGAACATAGGACTGACTACAGTACCCAGAATGCCTCTTAGCAAAGCCCTGGAGCTAACTGTGGTTCTAAAAGCCTTGCACCACGACCCTGCTGAAGGCCTAAGAGCATCTGATACAAGTCGCAGCTCCCTCTGATGATACATGGGGGTAAGGCGGATGGACACAAGTGAGTACTCACCGTGGTCTCGCCCCTGAACAGCCTCACAGGTTCACTGGGATCCCCAGTGGCAAGGGCAAACGTGCAGAGCGCGTAGGCCGACTTGTCCTCAAACCCAGCTAGGAGCTGGTAGAGACCTGCGGGCAGATAGAGTGAGGATGAAGTTCACAGGCAGTGCCACCCAGCATCCCCCAAACCAGGGGTTGGGATGGGAGCACCCAGCAAGGCCTAAGCCAGGGCAGATGCTGAGTTTGAAATGGAAGGCTTTTTCAAACTGAAGGTTTGAAACTGAACCCTTCCTCCAGCACAAGCTAAAACACAGCCTTGCTAAAAAATCAGAACATCAACCCCAAGTGCCATGGGAATGTGAATAATGACTTAAACCAGCCCCACTGCTGTCGAGTCAATTCTGATTCATGGGGGACCCCACACTGGGCTGAAGGTTGTAAATCTTTTTTTAAATTTTATTTATTTTTTAAAAGTTTATTATTTTTTTCCCCAGTTCCTAACAGAGTCCAGGAAAGGGACCAAGAGGGATAATACCTTCAGGCTTTAACTTCTCCAGAAACCACTTTCTGCAAAAGAAAAGACAAGAAGGTCAAACATCAAAAGCACTGGGATCTTCCTACCAACCATTTCCACCTTGTTGGGGTTAGAGCCCAAAGGCAGTCAAAGTGAAATTATCAATAAAGTCTCAAATCAAAATGAAGAGCAATATCCAACTGTAAAACAAGAAATGGTGGTAAATAGGCAACTCTGGGGGTGCGGGGGGAAAACCCTAATAAACAAACTTATAAACACTGGTAAATAAATGAAGGCTTCAACCTCACTGGTCATTAGGAAAATGCAATTTAAAACCTCAAGTGAAAAGCACACTGCTGACTATCAAAAAGCTACAGTGCTCAGTGCTAGCAACGGAGACTGCAGAATAGAGTGGGGAGACAAGTGCAATTCCCTTGGCAAACAGAACAGTAACTCAAAAGTTAACCAAGTAGCCAAACTGCTGTACCTGTAACCCCAAGCCCCATGCCAGCATCTTCAAATTAGGATATGTATATTCTGTTGTTGTTTGTTATGTGCCGTTGAGTCACTTGGGACTCAAAGCAACCCTATGTACAAGAGCCCTGAACCCTCTTCTAGCCTGTGCCAACCTGTCTCTGACACACCTACTCCCACTACCCCAGTCACTGAATCGATCCATCTCATCGAGGGTCTTTCTCTCTTGCGCGGTTCCTCCACCCTCCCAAGCATGATGTCCCCCTGACAAAAACCTCTTAAGGGGGTCCCAGGAGGCCACCCAGAAAAGGGCAGCAGTTCAATTCCACTAGGCACTAAGGGAGAAAGACGGGCAATCTCCTGTGAAGATACACAAACTCAGAAATCCGGTGTTGAATAGCCATGAGTTGGAATCAACCTGACAGCAGTAAACCTGGTTTATAGGACACTGCATAGTTTTAAAGAAATCCATTTCAGATCTTAATTTCCTTATTTCCTCTCTCCTGAAACTGATCTGCCAATGAATGGACCTCTGAAACAAGTGGGTCCTCTTTCCCGTATCTACTTACACAATCACATTCTCACACTTTACAAAAGAAAGGCATGCCTCACCCCTAATCCTCCCTCAGGACAAGGACAATCCGAAATATTGGCAGTGATGCCAAGACAGTTAATGACCTGCAACATCAGGTCATTCGATCCTTCCAAAGTTGAAGTGGTTTTGTAGCCAGAGCCCTAATAGGGGTGGAGAGTACAGGGTGATGGGGCACTACTCACATGTAGGGGCCAGGGAGTCCTCCAAGGGCACTGAAGCACAGACAGGTATCCTCCACCAGCACAGGTCCCTGAACCTGCAGCACAAGGACACACAGCCCTGAGACTTGAGGACTAAAGCTGTCTCTACCCTCCTCCCTGAAGCCTCAGGTCACTTGGGATCTGTAGTAACAATGAGTGGGGGTCCATGGGGAACTTCCCTTTGCTATCCTCTTAATCTTTTTATAAGAAATGGGACACTAAGGCTCCGGATGGTTCTGAAATTTGCTCCAGACAAGTCATAGGCAAGCAGAGATTCTTCACTTTTACTAAAGTGCTATTTCTCATTTTCACTGAGATGCCTGAGTTCAGGAGCAGATATGTATGGGACAACACCAGGACTGGAAAGTATGTATAAGATTTTGGAGAGAAAAAAAATGTTATGTGTGTGTGCATGAGAGATAAAGAAAGGACGTGTGTATGTGTGCGTACATGAACATGTGTGCAACCAAGATTGGCAAAGGAAGGTAGTGTTTGAAGGCCAACTGGGCATGGGCAGGTCCCAAGTGCCTACCCTGCTACCCTCTGCCTGTCTCCAGCAGGCACTAAAGGGATACTGATAGTTTTCCTGAGTCCCTGGAGTCATCAGGCTAAAGGAAAGCATGCAGGGGAAGCACCTGGCGAAATGCCTCCTGACACTTCTGGATGGAAATCTCATCTGGCTCTCCTTGATACTCCGGCACTTATCAAGGAAAAACAAGAGAGAGTCAGGTCTCAGGGAAACAGAGAAATGGAATCATCTTTTGAAAAGAAACAAAACAAACACATACGGTCAATTTTCTGAGCCACCAAAGTGCACGGAAACTTATCTCCTAGAATCTGAATGACCTGTTCCAAAATAAAGAATATTTATCACTTCATGTTAACAATTCCATGCTCTTATGTAAGCTGTTAACCACCTTTCTCATCAGGTAAAGCTCCTGCCAAACCTCTAAAGCTTACCAAGTCAGGCTAGTGAGTTTCATCCCAGACCAGCAGTGTGGTTCCCCCATTTCCTCACTCTCCTACCCCTCCCCCACTTAAGCTCTCTCCTCATCCCTCTCCCACAAATACCATTTCTCCCCTCTCATGGAAACCGTACCCTTTCTCACAGACCAGGAACTCTCTACTGGGGCCTGAGAGAATTAAGGAGACCTATCAACTTAGATACGAAAAAAAGTTATTTCACTAGCTTACAGCCAAAATATATTATCTCTTCATATTAGAAAATAGGCAACACACCAGAGTAGCTATAACCATTTCTGTGACCTGTAAGCCTATTAAAAATCAGATAGTTTAATGAAACACATGTATATAAACTCTGTATGCAAACTAATAAAAGGTGTTGCAGGGGAGCTCTGGTGGCCTAGTGGCAAGGAGCTGCAACTGCAATCCCAGAGGTGCATGGTTCGAATCCACCAGATGCTCTGCCGGGGAAGGAGGGACGATCTCCTCCTGTACCAGTCAGATCTGATTTGACAGTATACTCACACAAAAATAATAAAATTTAAAAAAAAAGAAAACAATAAAAGGTGTTGCAGCTATGTGAGGCATCAATAATGCATGTGTGTGTATACATAAACATATACATGAATATTTATATATATATATATATATATAAAATCAGTGACACTGATTTTAACACACATTGTCCCTCCACTGGGTTTCTGAGGCTGTAAATATAGATGAGAGGAAACTGACCATCTTTCACCCAAAAGCAGTTGGTGGATTAGAACCACTAACGTTTTGTTAGCAATTCAGGGAAGCAAACAATGCACTACACCACCAGAGCACTTTTTTTTTCTTGTCCCCCTCCCCAGAGCTCTTTTTTATAAACATTAACTATTATATAAAAAATGGATCTGTAAAAAAAAAAAAGATCTGTATTATCTTGACAATCTTAATATCTCAATTTTTGAGATATTTCAATATCTCAGTATTTCAATTTATCTCCTTAGCAATATACACATTTTCTTTTATACATTTAAAACTATTTTTCTGTCCTGTCAGTGGAGTACAACGCTTAAAAAGAATTGGCTCTCTTGTAGACTAAAGTCAAGACTACCTTCTCAAAAAAAGCTTCCCTTAGCCACTCTAACCTTTCCTTTAAAAGCAGTAAGGACACCTTTTTCAGCCAGAGGCAGAGATGGGCTTGACGCCTGGCACAGAGTCTTGCTGGGAATAATGTGGCCAGTAGACTTTAACGGTCTGTGGCAAGATCCACACTGGCCTGGCACAGAACACCACTGGTTCCTACACTGTGGACAGATGAAACCTCCCTACCAGGTGGACTGCACGGGTGTTTCTCAGTGTAGGATGCTTCATTCCCCACAAGAGATCCAACTCTTCCTCTCTTAGATTATGGTTGACTGGTCTTGGCAAAACCTTGACTAGAGCATGCCAATCAGAGCTGATGTATGACAGGCCATCACTACCCAAGCTACAAGCAAGGCTTCTCTGATCTTATAGGGACACAATGCTCCCATTAAAACTAACTGCTGATGGGGAGGTGGGTTTGTTTTTTTATAACAAAAAACCAACCACCAAAAAACAACTAACTGGTGGTTTGGAACCCCGTGTTACTGAAAGCCAAAGATGCGCTATCAACCTCCAGATCCTTTCCAGTTAGCTACACTGACACTGCCCACTGTGGGCAGGAAGCCGCCATCGGTCAGTAGCGCGCTGTGATGCTGACCCGCATTCTGCAGCCTATTTCACAGGTGCGCAAAGATGTTAGTGACCACATTTCTGCCAGTAGTAAAATACGGGTAGCTGTAGTTGGATACCCATACTACACTTTCTTCAAGCCCTTCTGAGTTAGCCCCTGAGGGGTTTAGGAGTCTCATTTCGGGGGTCTGGTCATTAGGTGAGTTTTGGGATAGGTGCTAAGGGCCCCTGCCGCTACTTCTGCTTCCACAGACCCTGACATCGCAGTTCTCATGTCCAGGGGCCCTACTCCCTTAGGCCCGCTGTCACACAAATCCCAGTCCCGACCCTCCGAGAGAGAGAGAGAGAGAGAGAGAGAG